TAAGAATTTCCTCACACACGTTGGCATTGTGTATCTGCAGCAAAACTGGCATTTAGAAGGCCTACATGTATCTGTACAAGTCTCTCTCCATCACTTTAGGGGGGTGGGGGAAGGGGCACTTGGGCACAGTCCTAATATTACTCTACCTGTACATGTGCTGTAGATCCATGGACATTCTTATCATGTAAGCTGTATTGCAGCAGACTGCAATGACAAGACTACGCCAGTGCCAACAAAATCAATAAAAACAATCTTTGAACATTATTAGCAAGAGTGCTCTTGAAATTACATGTACCAGATCCTAACCATTTCTTGCAGGCCATGTGTGAATCTGCATATATATGTGGCTGTTCAATCAATATTATTTTCTCTCACCTCTAGAGTTTAGAGTCTGGCCTTCAGTGTCAACTCTTCAAGGACAAAATGCAGGGTGTGAACGTTAGCACAAATACTTGAACACTGCCTACATGTGTTAATGAACACATGTACATGTAAACACTTGTACAGGTACCGGCACATGTCCATGCACCAGGTTGGGGTCATACACATGTACTCATGTGCATGTGCTTGTAACAAACTACCATGAATTTCCAAAGGCAGGAATGCCGTAAATTTTGGAATACAAGCCATGCCTTATACATTGATTCTCATGCTGAAAAATGGCTCTGCAGTTTATACGCTTGGCGGCTTATACGGCAATTTTTCAAGGATACTAAATTAGTCACACGTCATAAGTTCCAGCCAGAACACACATACCACGTGCAAGTGGCGAAGTTCTGTTTTCGTTGATTGTTGTTTACATCTGAAAACTTGAACCTTGAAGAATAAATAAAAATTTGAGTTGTCCGGAGTTATTAACAGAATGCCCCAAGTAGTGGAATCACAACACGATACATGAAATGTGACGTAATCTAAACTTTACTTGCTCTGCTGTGGTAATATTTCTTAGTGATTATTTTCCTGCTTTGGTGTATTTTTTTGCAGGCAAATAATCATTTTACTGACTTTTTTTATTGTTGTAAACTAAAGATTTCTTTTTACCGTTTAATAAAAATCAACGGCTTCAATGGTGTACCTTCGTGTGGCAGATCTTTCATCTTTTCGCCGTTCTTGTTCAGTGTGACATGCCACAGAATTTCTGGATTTTTTCACTTGGGTTTTCTGATGACAACACTTTCTGTCATCACATGGTTATCAGAAAGTCTCAGTGATTGGACTGTCCATGAATAGGTCTGCGGTAGCAGTCAGGTTAGCCTGAAAACTGGCTTTGCGCGGAAGGGGCTGTGCATGCAGTGCGTGTGTGCCATACCACGTGCAGCATGCATGCAACTCAAGCAGTCCCAGTGTGACGACTTGAACCAAGGTTTTGCAGTGGATTTTTCATTTTTGAAGCAATTTGGTGGTGTTTTTTGGGTCTGCGTCACAAAAACCTCAAGATAACTGGATGCGGTGTTGCGGCAAGGGACAGAGGTATCTTTAGACTTAACTGACTTCAAGTAACCAAGATTTTATTGTACGTCCCCGACAGCATAACTTTTGCTAGCCGCTGGAAAAAATGCAAAAGCTGATGCGCGGCCAACCCAAGACCATCGACCACCATCCAGCTCGCAAAAAGTACTAAATTTGAGGACTTAAAATTCACTTGTTAGGGTGATACTCATTCACATTTTGCTTACTTTCATTAGGATTGCACGTGTAGTGGATCCATAGACGTACTGTACATGCTGTAATGGCGCTTCAGCACACAGTGCAATGACCTTTGTGGTTGGATCGTCAGCATTGCAGTGCGGCTTACACGCCAACTTTAAATCTTAATTTGCTGTTTTTTGCATGCTGTGGCTTATTCACTGGGCGGCTTATATTCCGAAAATTACGGTTCATGTACACATAAATGTACATGTCCTGTACATGTACCGGTAGGTGAAACTTACTGGCATTTTATAATATTCTTCAAATAAACAAGAAAAAGGAAAACAACATTTGCTCATTGAAAGCAATTCTGAGAAAGGGTTGCTACCAATTGGTTTGTTACCATCTGTACAAGTTCTTACACAACCATGATTCACCAAAGAAAAGGAAATTTAGGTCAGCGAAATATGATTAAGTCCAAGGCTGTTTGCGCACAAATCAAAGTTTATGAAAATATGAGCAAAAAACCAAAAAGGCACGAAAATGCCCTTTAAAATAGCATAACAAAAATTCACAATAAGGTTAATCAACACACACCCAGGGGCATTTTCAAGGGTTGTTTTGGGAAGAAGTGCACAGAATAGACCCTTCAAGTGCAAGCCATGCACAGTTCCTTTATGCAGCTTTTCATGGTGCTTCAATTGTTCTTCTTGAGCAAGTGTAAATCAGTCCAACTGGCACCAGTAACACAAGGTAGTCTCTTGGACGTGCATGGAACTTTTCCAGATTAAATATGAACCTACATGCATACAGGTACATGGGTCATTCCATGAAGTTTGGGCACAGTTTGTGACGGCGTCCTCCCTTGTTACATCAGTAACTTTTATTACCCGTTACTATCACACTACCAAAGATTAAGTCATATTATTCAGCAAAAATGAAGTACACCACTACAAGAACCTAGCAAGATTTAGAACAATGTCAATTTAGAATCCACATGCAGGGAAAAAAAGATGTTTATTTTAACTGATGTAACAAACATGCCGTCACAAACTGTGCCCGAACTTCGTGGAATGACCCACATGTACAAGTACAATGTGGTACAAACACATGCACAGGACTTTTTCTAAGGCCCGTCAACATAAAACTGGAGAAAAGTGACAAGTATCAATGACTGAGGAGGACAAGTTGATAACATGAAAAGAGGATGCTTGACATGCCATAAGTTCCATGTTACCTGTATGTGCAATGTTTTGACAGACTGGCATGTGTTATTCTTCCAAGACAAATGCCATGAATTCGCATGCTTTACTAGTAGTATATCATGCTGTCACTTCAAGTGAACATGTGTCAAATTGGCACAGTTATATCTCTAATGTGCAAATTATCTATTCTTACAACTGTTTCCAAACTAATCCAATACAAACGACAACACAATTAAAAAAATAAATAAATAAATAAACATAAATCGCATAAAATAAATAAGTAAAATACAACTACAAACACCAAAAACTTTTCCTTGATAAAAAAACAAAAACAAAAAAAACCCTCTAAGACTACGATATTTCCAACAAATAGTTTTGAAAAACAATGTGTTTTGATTTGATATTGAAGATAATTTCAACAGAATTTGAAGAACAAAATCCTGGGCATCAATATATTTTTTTAAGTGATTGGAATTGAGCAAATTATTAAGTTGACAAATTTAAACACCCACATACATTGTACAGTCTCCTTGTACATGTACCTACCTTAGCAATATAAATCCACTATTTACAACTGACGATAATCTACAGTGCATGCATACTATTGTGTACATGTTCGTACATCTACATTCATAATGCACATAATGTGCATGTAAATTGTACATACAGGCCAGATACGTACATGTGCATGTACAAAGAACGCATATCACTTCAGGGTGCTTCCTTAAACAACGTATGGCTATCTTCACCGCCACTCACTCCGAGGACGGAAATTAGAAATGTGAAACCAGCCAGCATGCGCGTGACAAACGTGCTGTGTAGGGCTTGCCTGGTGCCCTGCGCCAGAGCCCTTGAGGTCAGTTATGGAAGGGGAAAAAAAGCTTTAAATCTCAGGAACCAGGAGCCATCAATCAAGGTACAGTAGGTACAGTTTAGTCATGATTCATTAATATTCTGGTTACTGCATGCGCATCAAGATAGGAAGGCAAATTGATTGGGAGGAGGGCAAAAATTCATGTATTCTAAACAATACAAATTGCCAATGGAACTGGTACACATAAGTCCAAGGAGATTATCCTCTATACATGTTCATGCATAACAGCAAAAATCTCATTGGCCTTTCAGTCAACTATTAACACCATACAAATGCAATCTTCATTCAAAGGATTTGTGCATAATGTATGCACAGTACAGGTATGCATATGTTGGCCTAATGAGCTGGGATTTGTGTGAAAATGTCTCATCTGTGAAAGAGATACATGTACAGTGTATGATTGAGTTTTATCGTTGTGAAGCAATCTGGACACAAGTTATTAGATTGACTGCTGGCACTAATTTCAAGTTTGATGAGTAAAACTTGAAAGCAGTGTTTTGGCTTGGAATGAATACTCAATATCCGCAATGGGGTATATGAAATACCTGGACGCATGACATGCATTGTAAGGGCCGGGCGGGGAAGAGAGTAGGAGGAGTGGAAACAATCTGTGACCTTTCACTTCCTGTTCAGTTCTCCTGGAGCAAACTCATTTCAAAGAGAACTCCTGGGCTAATCCTTACAATAGGCGTTGGCAATATGCCCTTCTTCTCATAGTCTCCCTTGGGGACAACCTTCACTAGTATGCCATTGTGACAGTGCTCAAATACTGTACAGGGAGAGCTGTACATGTAGCTGCCCGAGCAAAACTCTTCCTACTTCCCTGAAACACTCGCTGACGAAAAATGAGCTGCTCTTCTGGTCATGTTCCATGACTGTACAAGGCCTCTTACAATACATGTACATGTTACAGACCAAGAAATGTCTCCGAAGACCCAGAACATGTGACCTTGTAAAAAATACAGTTTCATTGTCTCATTTCAATGAAAAATATTCAAGCTCTTGCACTGTGCACTCATCCTTGCATTTCATGAAAGAGTCCCTTCAAATTGTTCTTGGTGGACTGTAGTGTCAAGAGCTGTTCACATTTGAACCATTCATTGACCTGACAAACTCAGAAGTCAAGTGGCAAGAGGTCTGCACTAGTACATGTAGATGGCAGGGTATGTGTTCGAGTCCCATTCAAGTTTGCCTGTGAGTCTTCATCTTCTCCAACTAAGTGTGGAAAGCGTAACCAGTAACAATATTGACTTGGGCTCGTTGGTTTTGTTTGAGGTAAATAGGAAACTTACATTGATAGTTTCACATGCCGTGGGAATTGGTGAAGCTTTCCGTCTGAGGCTGTAGGGTCGACTGCTCCTATCCTGCGGGGTACCAGTTGTTTTTGTTCTTGATGTTGTAGGTTGTTGAGCTAGAGAGACGGAAAAAAAGAATTTAAAAACATCATTTTGGGTAGGCAACTACAGAAACCTGGCCTACAAATATATGTAGAACCAAAAATTTTAAGTTCAAAATGCCATCCCTGTAAAGCGTTGAGTTATCTGGTACAGGTGTTTTGCAAATGCTTAGTGCTGGATACAAGATTGCATCCTGCAAAACGAAAAATGAAAACCACACTTGAGTAAAGCAACACCCCTCAACAAACATGAACCAGTACTGAGTTTGTGCACACCGGAGACAGACATGTACTGGTACATATATGTAATAGAGACCAAGTACAAGGACATCATAACACTTCGGTGAGACTTGGTTACTTGCGAGATTATAAAAAAGAAAGGTTTTAAAAGGTTTCTGTAATGAAATGAAAAAACAAACCCAGGCTTCGTGGAATGCTGAAATAGATTCAAGTCTATACACACATGCAACTGGTTCTTGATGAGAATTTTTAGGGAAAGTAGAACTGACAGTTTGAATGTATTTTTCACCAGATTTCCGACATTGAACACAAACAAGGCTACACTTACGAAACAAAAACTTGTGAATGAATTGTTGCTTTAAGTGTTATAAGATACTAAAATGTTTGAAACATCTATTTACAAAGCCCTAGTCACAAGAAGTGAGCGATTTTGTTCCAAAATTTTGTATAGCAAATTACTGTGCAGTTTTCTTTTTGCACGGCAAAAAACTAATTTGTGTAGCAATCAATTAGTAAATGCATAGCAAATACAAAATAGATGGTTAAAAAGTAAAAACTAGGGGTTGGGTGGGAAGGAGATGATCAGTAATGTTCTTACATGGCCTAAGAATAACAAAAATACATGCTGCCAGAGGAAGGCCACTCGTAGAACGTACTCATTGTCTAGAAACTCATGGTTATTAGAATTTGACTTGGTTTTGAGTTGAAAAAGTTTGTGTAAGTAACAATACACCTGCAGCGTTGCTGTGTTTTATCACTAGCCTTGTGCATGCAATCGGCCCCAGAAGGTACATGTATGTAAGCCTGTGTGCCTGTCCGTAGTAGGCTTCCAGAAGTACGTCTCGTCTTAGCGTGTCTCTGCATATTTTCAATGGAACGAAGACATAGACCTACGTGTAGCTTGCTCTACACTACAGATGTACGCTGTGCTGGAGTTTTGCAGTCTGTCTACTGTGTATCTTTCAGCAGTGCAGCGTGGCAGCGGGCACCAATCTCATAAATGCTGTATGTGATTTCTCTACATTTTGAAAACGGATCGCAGAATTGCCTAAACGCATCCCAAAATGTGATGCAATACGGAAGGCATCACTCACTGACAAGCACAGCATCCATTTCAACAAAATGCCCGCAAAGGCTCGAAGTTAGCCCATAGGGCATGTGTGTACATGTGCACGTACATTGTATCACACAGGCTTTTCAAGCACACGCTCTGCAGTGTATCAATTCCCAATATGATGACAGTGAACTGAGGCAGAATGCTGTAGTCTTTTCATCAAGCCTTTTGCACCTGGTTCAAAGCACAATATTCCTATAGGCACGGTATGCCTGGCACACATGCATGCATTCACTCCAATTCAAGCTGTTGGGCTGAATGTGGACTTATAATATCATACATGAACATAATTAAAGTTCAAAACCTCAAAGAATCGATGAAACAGGGCGAGTAAATAATGAATTGCTTAAAAATACTGGTAGGGTTGTTAACTCTGTTATGAACAGGAACTGGCATAAAGAAAGATTAACTGTAACAATGGAATGGACAGTATTTTGATGCGCAATCTAGTTACATATATTTGAGAGCACAGCTCAAATAAAGTCTGAAAGACCTGCATTCCTAATCAAGCACGTAATAATTATATGTATCTGTGAAAGTATGTTTACTGTGAGTGTGAGCAGACACTCATGTAGGGTTTAAGTTAGCATTAATCGCGTATAAAGTTTGTAAATTATAATTAGGGTTATACATGTATATAACAGGCTTTGCCCTTACCCAACGTATATTAATAAGCACCGTGTGCTCAGTGCTTATAATTAGGGTGTTTTAACATGTAGCCAGATAAAAATGAACATTTGGTTGGAAACATCATGTATTGAAGCATCAGTGAACATAAAAGTGTGGTTGTTTTACAAGTAGGGCTACACCTGCCACTTAAAGATAATCCAAACTGTTAAGTTTTCAAGTCCTGGAAGTGTGTTTTCTTTTCAGAGTATACATGTAGATACTTTGAAAACTTTCTACCGTAGGCTGACATGCACATGATGAAATGCACATGTACATGTACCTGTAGCCGAATTACCATTTCTTTAAACACTGTGACTGAGTGAGCAGCTGGTTTACTGCATAACCCTAACTGCCCAAAACCTGCCATACTCCAACAGCAGGTTTTGTGAGGTTTTGGCAGGTTTGGTACCGTACCTGAGGAACCTGCTGTTGAATTTTGTGAGACTTGGGATGAAAGGCCCAGGGAGATGGTGTTGGATTCTGTGTGAGTTAGGACACACATGGGTCACTGTGTGCAGTGTCTGGCTTGCTGTACCAATTGTTGGACTACACTTGATTTTGTCAGGTTTGGTACTGTTCAGTGCAAGTCATCCTACACTGCATAGACCCATCCATACCATATCACTCAAACTCCAACGGGCTCATTCTGTTGGAGTTTATCAGGTTTGGTGCAGTAACCTGCATGTACAAGTACACAGACAAGTACATGAACCTGTTGGATTTTGTGAGGTTCAGTATGCTTTTCTAGTGCAGGAGTCTAGGGGGTTAGGGATAATGTGCACTTTCAGCTGATTCAGGCCACTTCCTTACAATGACTTTATTAGTGTAAGTGCTTTCCTGAGACATGCCTGAGGTGACACATGATGTATGTAATCAATGGGCTCATACTGTTATCTACTTCCACATGAGCCAACACCAAAAGTTTCTACATGCGTGGTCCTCGCCTCTTCAAGTCTTTCAATAACTATATCACTGTCAACTGGACGGCTTGGGAGATGTTGCAGGATGGAGGAAACGTACATATGTGCATCAAGCTTGCTCAGCATTTCACAGGGGCTTGGTACTAGTTTATGAAGAATCTGAAGTTGTTTTTTTTGAAATGAGAATTACAGTAGAGGATCTGGGAAGAATCTGGGATATGAAAGGGATGGGAGTCCAGGATGTCCCAGAGGGGTTAATGTACAGTACCAGTACGCTGACATTTAATTAATGGGCCTATTTTTTTTTACTTGTATCATGTACCGGGTACAAATTCAGGTTCCGAGGCACAGAGGAAATCAGCTGTGGTTCCAACAGACTGTCTGTAATCTGACTCAAGAGGCAGTCTTAGACAGTGACAGACTAGTAGTAGGTCAGTCTCATGACTAAGCAACGCTCTACAATCTAGCCCAACCACACTCCTGGCCGCACTTCGGTGTCCTTTCTTTATGACTACATGCAGGGCCCAAGGGGTAAAAATTTGCCAGGGCTTTGTCAGCCAGGTGATTGGCCACCCCTTGTGAGGGGAATCAAAATACCCAGCCCCTGCCATAAAGTCAACATCAATGGCTGTGCATGTGTGTGTGAGTGTGTGCATGCGTGAGAACCGCACCTGGTGTGCTCAGTGTGCATACAGTACAAGTACAGCTCAGGTACTGCAGGCTTTCATTTTCAAACGAATAACAAATGACTACACTGACATGACTGAATGTGTGTGTGATCACACATGTACATGTACATGTATATGATATGTACATGCCTACACAATGAGTGCACACAAGTACATGTATTTTAGATTTTTACGTCTTGCACATGCACACCATGAATGTACACATACATGTACATGTTCATACAGGTTAATGTGGACTTATACGTGTTGCTGGTAGCAAGTAACAAAACCATATTGCATTAGTGTGTTGACGATCTGGTACAAGACGGTATCTAAAACCCAACAGTGCACAATCAACTTCCATGGGCAAAGATTACTGTTAACATGTACATGTTCGACACAATGCTAGGGCTGAGTCAATTGAAATAATTCACTATTCGAATATTCGAATATTCGTTAGCACCAACAGGCAGACTGTTGGAACTAACGATATACAGAATCATTTGCAATAACACACACAATTGTACATTATGATCAATAATAGCTTCTCACATCTAGGAGCATCTCCAGCCACGATTTAGCAAGATTGAAGAGATGAACAAGACTTCTTGCCCTGTTGAAAATTTTTATTCCTTTTAAATTGCTTGATGAATAATTTACTTTTAAAATCATTGTAAGATTTCCGACGCTTCTCCACAGTGCAATTTTTCTCATTTAAAACAAAAGAAAATTTTCCCATCCTTTCATGATGTTTGCATTTGAATATTCAAATTCGAAAAATAATATTCAAATATTTGACAATCGATAGAATATCCAGTTATTTGGCACAGCCCTACATAATGCTGAATGGGAACAAACACATTTTGAACTTCAAGCAAAATGTATTTGAGTGCCTTTCCAAACCACGGTGTAACAAAAACCATTATGGGCTTGGCTTCCTTTTGGGGAGGCACTGCAGGGGATGAAGCACTCAGTTCTGAAGCAGAATATTCAGATCATTTAGGGCAGAATCTTTGACAAAATAAAGGTAGGTGCATGCAGTCAAGACACCTCTGTGCATTGTCTGCCCTGAGAAAGAGATTGGCTTCTGTACCTGATACATGTTCACTGAGAACATGCTATTCAAAAGGTGATGCAACAATCTTTGGCAACTTGCCCTTCCTTCTTGAGCATTCATAGTTTTAATTGCTTTGACATTTTGCCACCACATGTGCACAGGTACACTCTGCACTCCTCATGCTTGGTTCACGTACATGTTGTGGGCATGTATTCCTTTGTTCTCCTATGGTTAGGATAACTTGAGGGAAATGCTCATTTTTCGGATGCTTTCCAGACTATTGCTCTTCACGTTGAAACGTTGTAACCCTGACCTTAAAATAACTCGGAAATGGTTTTTCAGAGCTA